TACCACATGACAGCAGAAGCCAAAAACACCAGAATTTTCAAGTCTAAAACATCCCGTAGCCTATCCCAAACTCACCCGAGCCCTCGGGGCTCCAAATCAAATATGCACACAAGTCTTAACACATCATACGAACTTGCTCGTGCGATCAAATTGCCAAAATAATGCCTAGAACTACGAATTTAGCATCAAATTGCATGAAATTTTCAAGAAAGTTCAAAAGTTCTATTTTCTCAACCAAAGGTCAGAATCACGTCAAATCAGTCATGTTTCTCACCAAATTTCACAGATAAGGTATAAATATCATAACGGACTTGTACCGGGCTCTGGAACTACATTTCGGACCCGGTATCAACAAAATGTATTATTAAACCAATTCTTAAAACCTTTATATTTCCAATTTACTAATTTTTCATCAAAAATTCATTTCTCGGGCTAGGGACCTCGGAATTCAATTCCGGGCATACAGTCCCATATTTTACTATGGACCCTCCTAGAATGTCAAAACACGGGTCCAGGTCCGTTTACTCAAAATGTTGATCGAAGTCAACTTAAATCAACTTTTTAAAGGCAAAACTTAATATTTTCTCAAATTTTCATATAAAGGCTTTCCAGAAACACGCCCGGACTGTGCACGCAAATCGAGGAGAAGGGAAATAAGGTCTTGAAGGTCTTGGAACCCCAAATTGGATTCTAAAACACGAGATGACCTTTTGGGTCATCACACTATTTCCGGTTGTTTGAATGGAAAATAAGTTATCCCATAATTAATTATCTCAGGATTAGTTATTCCACCCTCCCATAGGGATTAAAAAAGACTGCAATCTCGGGATAACTAATCCCGGAATTAATTATACCACGATTTTATCCCAACCAAACATGGGATAAACTCATCTCAAATTTAATCCTGGGATATCCCTTATCCCTTATACCAAACGAGCCCTTAGAGAATTAAAATAAGTTTTTATTTCATCGCGATTTGTTTATGTTCAATTGTTAATTATTACTTAGAGAACTTTTTATGTAACTCTTAAATATGTAAATTTTATTTAAAAAACTGAAAATGTTATATTAGAATTTATACCTAAAATTAGATAGTTCGAACTTTCAATTCGCCAAGGCTGACTCTAAGGTTCTATCTAATAAGGCTTGTGCCTTAGGCCCCCAAAATCTGGGGGGCCCATTTTTTAGAATAACCGGTTTATATATAATTTAAAATAATAATATTTAATACTTTTGACTCAAAAGTGGACTTTTCATATAGAAATTAAGATTTTTTTAGATACGTAATAGTTTTGACTTACTTATAAATAGACCGTGTGAATAGTTTTCCTAACGTCTGAATTTAAGTAGGTTTTTTTACCGAATTAAAACTATTAACATAAGATAATATACTCTGATGGATATACTTAATCAAATAAAAAGATTGATACTTTTTCAAATGCTTATAATACCTAAAATCAGCAATGTCTTAATAGAATTTAATGTGTTGGCTAAGTTATCAATGGAAAAGAAATTATTAGAAGAAAATGATTACAAAAAATTATTAACAATTTTGTATTTCAAAAGGTTAGAAAAATATACTTTAAATAAAAATATATTATAATCTTTTAAAAGAAAATTAGGTTTCACTTAAACTATGACTTTAGGCCATATATGTGCATGAGCCGTCCCTGCAAATCGCATCACAATAGTGGCAGGGAAGAAGTAACAGAAAATGTCTATACACGAAAAATAGTTACATAAATTACTTATGGTACAAACATCTACTGAGGTTAAGTTTTTCCCATCCCATCTACTCGTAGAAAACAAAAGAAAAGCTCCCTAGAAGAAAGGGTCAACATTTCACCAACCAAATGGAGCAACAGTAGCTACGTAATTATTGTCATGTGGTTTTTAAATGAATTGATTTTATTGAATTTTGTGAAAGATGGTTAAAGTAGTGGATTAAAATATGAACTAATCGGGTAGAGTTATTCTCTTTTCCTGTACTAACCATAAAAGGTAAAGCAAGTCAACTTTATTGAGACAAGGAAGTAATTATAAAAATAAAATTTACATGTGCAACGTTAGACAGAAGGTGCGTTAATCATTTAGGCTCATTGTCCTCATGGGGTAATATAACAACTGGATATTACACCCAAACCAATTAATTATATTAACTCAATAAACAGAACTACAATAATTAAATAGCAATACAATAGTAGAAAACAACACCAAAGCTAATAGATAGTAGATGAGAAGAGAAATTGCAACCTATAGCTAAGAAGAAAGGGGATGAGAAACAAGTTCAGCAGAGGAGATGAGAAGAACGGACTGAGCCGAGCCTTCAACATAATTCGCATTCCTGTATCTCCCCCTAGATCCCAAATATAACGTCCTAGCGTTCCATTCGGGTTTTTAGTCATTGGGCTTCTTCTCACTTTAATTTCTGGCCCAAATGTCCCAATTACTGGATCAGCGTCGTTTGACATTTCTGGCCCATAATCCCTTCCCGACTCAACTCGGTTCACAATAATATTCCCATCCGCAAAAAGAACCTTGTTCTCAAGGTTCGAGTTATGAACATTGTTAGTAGCATTTTCTCCACAATATATTAGCCTCATGTAAGTGAGCATTGAACCTTGTCTAGTAGTAATAGATGAAAAATAAAATTTTCAAACAACATGAGAAACCATCCTTTGCACGTAAAAATGGGATTGCTGCAGATTCTTCAAATGAAAACAAATAAAGCTTATCCTTTGAGATGGTTGGTTCTCTGGCTATGCTCGTAGTACCGTAATGATAAAGAAGCAGATGGCTAACAAGGACAGCAGAACCTCTGTTGATTCTTCCAACATCAAGCTTTTGCATTGTAGTGAAGAGAACAAGTGATGGAAAATCATGCACTGCTCCTTCTCCAAAGACAAGGTTGTACATCACTGGAGCCGTGTATTGATTAAGAAACCACATTATAAACAGTGTCTGGTGACAAAATAATTGCTCTAACATATAATCCTGCAACAGATACAAAACATTGTAACATCCCAACATAACCATCCCTCGATGCCTTCAAAATACTTGCTAATAAAATGTCGCCACATTGTCATCAATCAGAGCATAAAACTCAGTAAGAACTTTATCAAACTTTGGGAGTATAGGTTCACCGTCAAAACCACTACGAGATAAATTAAATATCAACTAATTCTCTCATATCCCAGAAAATCACTTGAGCTCCCACTAACTCACAAGTTTTCCTGATAGCATCAGTAGCGCCATCTCAGATGCATTCAAAGGTGGGAACTAGAAACTCATCAATTGGTCCACCCCATAATGTAGCTAGTAAATCATAAGTAGAACGAAAACTACTATCTGTAAATATAGTCTTGTTGGAGCCAAAGGGTAAGAGGAATATCATGTATACCAGGATCAAATGGAAGATTTGAAACCTGTCGAGGAATATGAATGAAGTTGCAAAGTAACGTTCCAATCAGAATTGTTGCTTGGCAAAAGGATTTCTAAAGTCTTCGTGAGAATATCGCAAGCAAAATAAGTAGGAGAACTTAGCATTGTCCATTTATTTTGCCTTTGCACATCCATCAAATGGTTTCCCACTGTCTGCTTCAAAACCTTGTGCACAAACTTTGCTCACGCAACATCCAGATATTCCCATCTTGTCATCATCAGAAAGAAGTTCTCTTACTTCAAGGCCATGCTTGAACTCCATAAAAATTTTATCAAGATGTCGATCCTCAGTATTCTTAGGTACCCAGAAACATTCATGAAGATAAATGGTGTCAGGGGCATCAACACCCAATTCAATTCTACCTAATTGCTCCCAATCATACAACTTTCCAAATAAACAACTCGATCCTTTTCTATTTGCTTTAAACAGTGTATGTGCATCTAATGTAGATGTCAGAGGAATATGAGGAAGAGGTGAAAAACCTGACGCAACACTAAATTCCTGTCGCGTGTCAAACCACTTATCCACATAACCAGAAATTGGTAGCCTAGTATCCCTTCCATCCGTATCCCGAGCACCAAAGTATAGTACTAGTGGAAGCACTTGGTTGTTTTTTTTTTTTTTTTTTTTTTAAATTTGGACCATTTCTTTTATCAGATGTCCCCGAAGGGATAAGCACTTGGTTGTTACAAGCCTCCAATGTCATTAACAGTGCACTTGGTTAATTTGTTTGATACGATGGAAAATGTTTTTGAATTTTTCAAAGTATAAGTTACTTTTTTTAATAAAAATAATTATTGCAAAATTTTTCCGATATTTGATTAAATATTGATGGTAAGATATTCAACAATATATATAAGAAATTAATAAGAATATCGAAGTGTTAATTGATGAAGCATTATAACATTAAGAGTTGAGATAATCAATAAGGCAAATGACTTTCGCTCACAAGTAAGGGAAATTTTCTTCCTTTTGGTGGCAAAAATTTTCTTCCTACCTTAATAAAAATGGCTTATTTTTATCTATTAAAATAAACATAAGAAAATGAATAATTTTACAGGAAAACACTTTTTACCAAGAATGACGTATCTATCTTCACCATTAACATGGCTTCGGTAGGATGTATCGATGTTTAATGTGGCACTAGGGATGTGAAACCTTAAAGTATCTAAAAGTTGGCAATTGATGCAAGTAATTATCGTAGTATTATTTTTCACCTCATATCCACATTCAACAAAAGAAACCAGAAATGAAATCATATCTACAATTTGTCCAGGCCACCCTGGTATCTCTTTTGGGAAATTTTCAAGAAGTACCTTGTCTTCCTGTGAGTCGCAATCATCCAATTCATATTCATCAGTACGTACCTTGGAGCAGTAGCCATGTGGCATTTCAGCGAACATCTTGTTCACATGGCTCGTGTTTTCTTCTTCCAAAGCAGATTTAATCTCATGGGACAAGACATGTGCAGTTGTCGACATTGGATGGAAGCAAGAGTGAGCCATCAAAAGGAGCTGGTAACGAATCATCAGGTGCAAATTGGTCTCGCTGACTAGAGCCAGTTCCTTGCGGAACTTCGAGAAGCACTGTGTCTTCAAAGTTTGTTAACGTTGTAGTCTCACTATCTATGTGAGCTATAAGGTCAATTTCAATAGAGTACAAACTAACTTGGATTTCAAAAGACGTAACTGATGATGACAATTCCAGCAAATCATTCTCGTCTGCGCCATTGGACATTTTATCAATAATGTTTGCCGCCTCTAAGTTTCTACCTTGGGAGGTAGATTCCAAGTCCGATGAGTTTGGGACATGGCTCAAAACAAGAGAATATGCACCTTTGGACCTATCAGATGATTCATCAAACACCTAATGCGCATGAATTTTGTTTTTTGCAGTCAGATTGTCTACCATAGTTTTGCAAGAAAGATTAGTTGGTCATACAACTCCTCTTCGCTAATCTCCCTTCCGACTTGAGCCCTTTCTGTTTAAATCGAGTTCTCACTTTATCAGCAAAATGCGGCCAATCAATTAATTGATTGTTCCTATACAACCATTGGTACCATTTCAGTGCGTCACCATCAAGGTAGAATGACGCCCTGGTAAGCTTCAGATCAACCTCAATTCTATAGAACTCAAAATAACGCTCCGCTTGGAATATCCAAGCCTCCGGATTCTCTCCTTGAAACTACCATAATTTGGCATCCATAGCCCGGTCTCAAGGTTGAAAAGAGTTCGTTCTCTGTTTCCCTACACCCTCCAGCAGCATCGAACGAAGATCGACGAGATCCTTAGAAAGCGAGGCCTTCATTTCCTGAATTGAATCACAAATTGAATCTTCGATGAAAGCCTTGAGTACTTTTTGGTCCTCCATTAGAGACCTCTCAATGAAAGCACCAATGTAACAACTTGATATTACACCCCAAACCAACTGATTATATTAACTCAATAAATGGAACTACAATAACCAAATAGCAATACAATAGTAGAAAACAACACTAAAGGAAATAGAGAGTAGATGAGAAGAGAAATTGCAACCTAAAGCTAAGAAGAAAGGGGATGAGAAACAGGTTCAGCAAAGGAGATGAGAAGAATAGACTGAGCCGAGGCTTCAACATAATTCGCATTCATGTATCTCCCCCTCGATCCCAAATATAACGTCTTAGCGTTCCATTCGGGTGTTTAGTCATTGGGCTTCTTCTCACTTTAACTTCTGGCCCAAATGTCCCAACTGGATCAGCCTTGTTTGACATTTCTGGCCCATAATCCCTTCCCGACTCAACTTGGTTCACAACAGGTAATCACTAATTAGTTATCTCGATCTTCAAACTTCAACTAATGCCCGAAGAAATGGCGTTTAGTGCTAAAGTCTTGTATAGGCTACGATCTGAGAATTGTCGCGCCCCCTTTTTTCCTCCTCGCGGGGAAGTCCGGGTTTCGACATTCATGGGGGAATAACTCGTTACCTTTTGGGAATTGGGTATTTGAAGAGTCGCCACCTAACGGCTTATGGTGCGTTAGGGCACCTAGAGTAATTAACTCATGTAACTAGTTTGCATTACCAGAGATTAGGGTAAGGGCTCGAAATAACCTTGATTGGAAGGTGTTAGGCACCCCTCGCGGTCCACAACGGTGGGTCCCGGCCGAACTTAAACTATGTGAATTAGTCAATTAACAAGTAAGCAAGTATTTGCAAATAAAGTAACTTTCCCCACCTAAATGCATATTGTCACACCTCCTTTTTCCTACACCCCGGAAGGGTAGTATAAGGGAGTTTTTTCCAACTTAAAGTGACAATCGAAACGGGATCATTTTATTAAAAAATCAGAGTCGCCACTTGGGATAATTTATGGTGTCCGAAGTCACCGGTTCAAATCCCGAATCGAGGAAAAGATTGACTCTGTTTTAGAGTCCGCGAACACAGAAATCCGGGTAAGAAATTCTGTTAACCCGGGAAAAGGTGTTAGGCATTCTCGAGTTCCGTGGTAGAACCACGGTCGCTCAACTGTTATTATTGGCCTTATTATCTGATTTTAATACATGTTTTAGCCTATGATACAATTTTAGCTTATTAACCGCTTTTAATCATTTTTAAGGAAGATTGCAACATCATTTAAAATACGTCTTGAACCACGTCACATAAATGCACCCGCAGTCCGCAACACATTTTATCTAACGTTGTTGAGATTTGGATTTGGGTCACATAAATGCACACCCGAGTTTAAGGAAGTAATTTTTAAATAGCGCGCCTAAAGCAACTACGCACTTTCAAGTTTGCGAGGGCCATGAAAAATTCAATTAATGACACACCTCAATTCTAATTTCAAAGGATTGTACTCAACTAAAGCAAACTACGGATGTTCATAGGGGTTGTTTGTTTTACTACTGGCAGCGATTTTAACACTGAACAATACTTGATAAGAGTAAGAAAAATCCAAGCAAATTCTTGGTAGGCTCTCTCATTTATGTCTACCACAAATAACTTTCCAATTGACACAACAAACCACGTACTAACAGTACCTTAATATCTAATGAATCAATCCAAAATTGTACTCCATTAATTCAAGGGTCTGCAACTTAAGCAAATTTCCCCAACTCACTTCGTATACACATAATGTTTCAATTGTATCTTAAATTTATCCGTTAACATCCAGCTCCACATTTCATCAAACAGGTAGCAAGCCACCTGAAACTCTATTTTTAAACTACAATAAACTCAGCTCAAAATCAATCCAACAACTTCACTGGCGTTTTAACAGAGATAGGAGACTAGAAGGAATGGGCCAACATAATTTTTTGAAATCACCCATAACTAGAATTATAACAAAGATAAGGAGAAGATTATGGACCTTAAATAAATCTTTCAATTGACAGAAAATTTTCAGCAGATTACAACGGACAGGATAGCGCAGCTACAAGCAAAATCCAAGACCGCGATCAAATTCGAACGGAACTACGAGCCACCTTCGAATCGGCACCTCAGCTCAACGGATCTCATCTAGTTTCGGCGAAGAACTCGACAAATCCGAAACGGAAAAATTGGAAATCGGAACAAACGAAACTCATGAATCCTTTTCCTCTGAGTTCTCGTATGTGCGTGCATGTGTGTGAGTGGGCTGATCTGTGTGCGTGTGTTTCTTTTCGTAAATGAAGCCCGGCTGCTGCGTGTGGGACTGGTTAAGGTTTTTCGGTTTGGTGAAAGGTGCTCCAGGCGGAGATGGGGCTGGGCTATGGAAGAATGGCGTTGGTGGCTTGAGGCTGTTGAGTTCTGGATAGAGATGGAGTTAAAAGTGAGGTGAACACGATGAAGTTCAGGGGTAGGGGTCTTGTGTTGAAAAGCTGCCTGATTTTTTTATCTCCCCTCACTATTACGTGTATTTTTTTTATTTTTTTTATATTTTGCCAATTAGTTCCTGGTCTTTTTGTGTCAAGTGTTTAGGATCTTTTTATTTATTTTTTGTTCCAAAGAAGAGTCTAAAAGAGTCCTATTAGCTTAATGGGTATTGGATATTGAGCTTAAGGAATGGGCTAGAAACTTGGGCCTTTATGACTAGCTATGTTTAAAATTAGCTTAATTAACTAAAGGTATTATTAAAAATATTAATTAGCTCTACTTTTAATTATTAAAATAAGACTGACCATTAAAACAAAACTATTTTTTTGATATTTTTCAAGATTAAAAATGACTACAAAATATTGATGAACCTATTTTTTGTAATTTTCGTTTTCTTGTAATAAAATAAAAGTAAAAGAGTAAAAAATGAGTTGAAATAGCTATATTAGGCCTAAAAATATTTATGTGCTAAAATATGAAAAATCTTGGGGAGGGTCAAAAAATCACATGTCTACAGCTGCCCCTCTTTGATGGGAAACGCGAAGAGTTTTCAGACAAAGAACGACTAGACAGGTTTTTTGGCCCGACCCTTATTTGGGAGAGGCTAAAACTGAGAAAAGGGGAATGTGACTGAGCCCTGATATCTGAGCTGCCTACATATCCTTGGCTTATAAAGGAATCAGGCCACGTGTAGTTCGGAGGTGAGTGAGGTGATGGAGTATACCGAGATGGAGAGCCGGTCGAGGTGCCGTTCCGCCGAGGTTCCGGTCAGCGGTCCTGATGTTACATCAAAAAATCAAAACATGAAAAAGACTAGCTAAGCCTATCAACTACGAGTTATAAGATTCCTATCTATAAGTCTTCTGAAGCTTGATCTTGAGTCTTGAATGGTTCTTCATGCTGACTTTAGATTTGAACATTGACGCTTGTTAGCTGCAGGTGCTAGTTCATTCTTCTTCAGCTTTTCGGGTCAAAATCAGACATACCATGCTCGTGATTTCAGCCATGTCTTGAGCAGTTCACATCTTTCTCTACATCTGCATTTTGGATTCACTTTTTCTTTCTTTTTGTTTCTCCTCTTCTTTTATTATTTTGGATTGTGACTAACTTCCGTTGATCATCTCGGATTGTTGACTCGCATTCTTTCCGCGAGCCTCTTTTGTCGCTGACTTGAATTGCATTCTGAAGTGAATTCCCTTGTTCTCCAGGTGGGCGCCTGATTGCCAAAAACTTGAACTGTATTCCCTTGTTCTCCAGGTGGGCGCCTGATTGCCAAAAACTTGAACTGTATTCCCTTGTTCTCCAGGGCGCCTGATTGCCAAAAACTTGAACTGTATTCCCTTGTTCTCCAGGTGGGCGCCTGATTTCCAAAGCTTGAATTGTATTCCCTTGTTCTCCAGGTGGGCGCCTGATTTCCAAAAACTTGAACTGTATTCCCTTGTTCTCCAGGTGGGCGCCTGATTGCCTAAAACTTGAATTGTATTCCCTTGCTCTCCAGGTGGGCGCCTGATTTCCAAAGCTTGAATTGTATTCCCTTGTTCTCCAGGTGGGCGCCTGATTTCCAAAACTTGATTTGTATTCCCTTGTTCTCCAGGTGGACGCCTGATTGACAAAACTTGAAATGTATTCCTTTGTTCTCCAGGTGGGCGCCTGATTACCAAAACTTGAAATGTATTCCCTGAAACTGCCGCCTTTGTACCTGATTATAACAAAACAAATAAAACAAAAGAAATTTTCCTGCCCCAGTTTGGTGCTGAGCACGTCTGTGAGTGTTAATTGAATCATGTTACCACATATCTCTATGAATTTGAAAGCTAAATCCCATTATCCAGGGCGGGTTCCTGACAACTCTTAATTAAACGACGGTTTTAAATCTAAATTATATCTTCTAAAGGTATGACTTCCGCTAAATCTTGTTATCTAAGAAGGTCTAAAAACTACATCCCATTATCCAGGAGGTTCCTGAAAATCAAAGATCAAGTCTTATCTTAAGAAGGCAATTTTACGGTTGACTTATACTACCCTACAACAGAACTTACGCTACATCTTGTTATCTAATGAAATCTTAAAGCTAGGTCTCATTATCCAAGAGGGTCCTGACAACTCCTAATTGAATCATATCTTAATCATGCAAACTTTGAAGCCAGCTTATATTCCTTTAGGGTACATTTATGCTAGATTTCTCTACTCATGATTGTTTTGAATTTTAAACTAGGTCCCATTTTCCAAGAGGGTCCTGAGAATTTACGGTCAAACCTGTCTGGTGCTTGCTTTTCCCCCACGGAGGGTTTCTCCGAAACAAATGAAATTTTCTATCCCTGTTTCAATCAAAGAAAAATCTTGTCAGTTTAAAAGTATGGTGGTTGGTTTGTGGCCTTGACTTTGAGGGCGGTTGCTCCTTCACTTCCCATGATCACTTTGATTTCCACTCGAAGACCTTGTTTGTTTATTGACTAATCACTTTCTTTGTCACCCTTATCACAGAAAATACCTCTTCTCTGTTCAGACCCAATACCCCCTATCTGTTGCATTGCTCATGACCTGATATTACCAAGCCTTTGTGTCTCACATGAATCCCAAAGCACGTCAATTGCCATCCACTCCGTGTGTATGTTGTTCTTTCTTGACTTAAACCACTGGCCTTGGCCTTGAGGTCTGTTGCTCCTTCACTTGCCATGACACTTTGATTTCCACTCGAAGACCTTGCTTGTTTATTGACTAATCACTTTCTCTGTCGCCCTTATCACGGAGAATACCTCTTCTCCATTCAGACCCAATATCCTCCATCTGTTGCATTGCTCATGAACTGACATTTTACCAAACCTTTGTGTCTCATGAATCTCGAAGCACGACAATTGCCACCCACTCATTGCGTATGCTGTTCTTTCTTGACTTAAACCACTGGCCCTGGCCTTGAGGTCTACTGTTCCTTCACTTGCCATGATAACTTGATTTCTGCTTGGAAAACCTTGCTTGTCACTGGTTTCTTTGTCAATCTTATCGCAGAAAATACCTTTGATCCGTTCACCCAACACCTTCCATCTGTTGCATTGTCCATGAAATGATAGGTACCAAACCTTTATATTTTACAAGGATCCCAAAGCATGTTGATTGTTACCAGTTCAGTGCGCTTGTTGTTCTTTCCTGACTTATGCGACTTTGATGTGCTAGCCAGATCCCGTTTTGTGCAACTGGAAAGCCGGTGGCAAATTTTGAAGTCATTTCTCACTTGTTCCGACCAAACAGACTCGGGAAGAGGAAGTAAACAAGACAAAAGGAACAAATTAAAGGACAAAGGAAAGAGATGATTCCTAACAAGAAAACTACAAAGTAGAAACTTATCAGATGTGGATGCCAACTCTAACGACCATGACATGCACTTGTGGCCTATTCTGTTGAGCAAGTCTGATGTTCAACTCTTGTCGTACCTTTTTCGCCATGAAACTGGGCCTCAATGCTCCGATTATCCAATCCGATTCATGATCCTTATTCGACTCGTAGTGCCCGAAGGGTTTTCCTCCATCAAGTCTCTCTCATTTTGTTCTCTCTCTCAACTCACCGTCGCCTTATGATGCCCGTGAAGGTTTTCACCAATAAGACTCTCTCATTTTGTTCTTCTCTTTGTTCATAACGGAGTGTTGCCCCTGATATGAATCACCTCTACTTGCTCGACTTGGCATTTCTCGAAGACTGATCGGAAGGTCTTTCTTTGGACCGTAATGTGGGCTTTTGGATAGGGTTAGAAAGAAAGGGTATCAAAAGGCTCAAAACAATTCAAATGGTTTCAAAATTACAACTTTTGGAATCAAATCTCTTACACAACCACAACTTCTGCCCCAGTTTCTTTGCCTGGGGACTTTTGGATTTTTATTTTGATGGGACCGAACCGTGAGGCTGCCTACGTATCCTTAAAAGCAATCAGGTCGAACGTAGTTCATGTCATAGGAATTGTTTTGTGGTTGTTACTTCTCTTTTTTCTTTTTCTTTCCCTTTTTTTCTTTTTTTTTCCTTCTTTTTCTTCTTCTTTCTTTTCCTTCTTTTTGTCTCTTTTTCTTTCTTTTCATTCTTTTCTTCTTTCCTTTTCTTTTCTCTTCTCTTTTCTTCTTTACTGCTTTGCTGAATCTCGCTACTGATTCCAAAAGAGGAGTATGAAAGGAAATAAATAAGGCTCAAAAGGGGTAACAAAGGATAAAGTGTTTAGATAGCAGAATAAAATGCCTTCGTCATTCCATTCTTTACAACATGCCCAGTACAAAAGAACACAATTTAAACCAAAGAAATCATACATAATATCTTTTGACTGCATCAGAATTCCCAGCCATTTCTACACATTTGCCTTCTGCATCTGTTAAATACAAAGCATCATTGGACAACACTCTCACTCTCATTACCACGAACTGCCCCTGTCAATTTGGGCAAACTTGCCTTTAGCTTCAACCGATGCGGCATGATGCATTTCAATAGGGTTTCTTTATGTTCTATCTGCCCCAGTTTCACACAATTCGGGCTTGAAGTGATCTCAAAATGCCTTTACTTATTTCCCTCAAATGCCCATATCATCTTCCAAATTGTTTCATTGCTTCATGACTAAACAGACTTTTAAGACTAGGCCTAGAATTATGTGTGCATGTCATGTCACTAGAGCGAGCAAGAAGAGAACTATAAAAGGAGAAAAGAACTAAACAGAAATGACTAAAAATAACAGAAAATAGAAAATTGCATTAGGCAAACGGTGAAGGGGTTCGAACAACAAAACAAGCACTAAACTGGGGTTACAACCCTGGAACAAACCTAGACAGCATTAAACGAGTTGCTACGACTAAACAAACCAGGCAAAAATAAAAGGATAGAAGGGTTTGAGCCACAAGACAATGTCCGGATTACAACCCTGAAATAAACCGGACAACAGAAATGACAACAAAATGAACCATCAAGACTCCTCCCTGGCTAACCAAAAAAGGAGCGTCTTTCCAATTACCAAGCTCGGCATCTTAGCCACCGAGTTCCACATC